AAATAAAACTAATAGTTACTACTTCTTTGATTATGTTTCGCGGTACAAATGCGTTGACTCTAATCATAATTACGTGTACAAATACATCCACTGCCAATAATAACTATTTTAATTATTATTTACATACAGCAGATCCAATCAGCAAACATTACCGTCGCCGCCGTTCCATAACGAGACGCCGTCACCACCAATGGAGTCGCCGCCGTTCCCATGCTCGCCGCCGCCACCACTGGCGTCGCCGCCGTTTCATAACGAGACGCCGTCACCACCAATGGAGTCGCCGCCGTTCCCATGTTCGCCGCCGCCACCACTGGCGTCGCCGTCGTTTCATAACGAGACGCCGTCACCACCAATGGAGTCGCCGTCGCTACCACTGGCGTCGCCGTCGCTACCACTGGCGTCGCCGTCGCCGATATAGTCGAGGTTGATCCCGATTTTATTGGTACAAACGATGCATCAAGCCGGGATAATGTCCCTGCTCTCGTCGATGCATCATTTTTTTGCGTAAAATGAACGGCATAGATTTCCAGGACCTCGAAATGTTGACATAGACTASTACTTATTCATATAAACTCACCCGTTTAATCTTGCACAAAGTGGTTGTGTATCTGTACTGCTTTCATTTCTCGTCTAAAGAGAAATACGGCAACAATGTCAGAGAAATGCAATAGTATGGGTAAGGACATTAAAGGGACATCATCAGCCGGCATTCATTGCGATCTTGATTTAGTTTCCTATATCCGTTGATCACAATCCCAATATAGAATGTTGCAGCTTCATCTAAAGAGGATAAAATGCTAATAAGAAGTAAGTTTTTGTCCATGCAGTCGCTTTCAACAGTAATCGAAGTGAAATAAAGTGTGCCTTTGCTCTTTAAAAAACGTGCAAAATAAGACTAATAAATTGATAACCACGAAAACAAATGCATTGCTACGTATTCTTATATATTTCAAATGAAATCAAATGCTCGAAAGGGATGCTGGTTGTTAATGGTCCTTTGAACCGAGTTGATCACTGTAATTTTCAAGGAATAGAATCATTAAAGAAACACAATTACCAATATATTACCATTTGTGGGATTGACTGGCGTTAWTTGCTGACAGCGTTACCGAGCAGCGCACTTTTCTCGTCCTGTTGCGACTGTTGCTGGGGGTTTCCTGTTCCGCACTATGGTATTGATGCTCGTGACCCGGTGGGAACTCCCTAATAAAAAAGGTTGGAGCCCTCGTTGGAAATTCTGATAATGACCCCTAAAGGGACCTTGTATTGTTTGATCATGGGCGTGGCAGTGCTGAAATTTCACCCCTTTCACGTACAAACTACATTAGTTAAGAAAGCTCTATGTTGGCACATGGAATTTTTACATTGTTCCACTCATTTTTATTATTCGTGGTTTTCAAAGTTTCAGAGCTGTAGCGGTCTTGGTTCGAAAGTTATTGGCATTTTACTCGAGGGGGGCTCAAAATTTTTTTATTTTGTCGTGACAAAAGTTGGTGCAGTATAGATTTTGAAACGAGGGGTCGTTATCAATGTAAGGCGTCATTTGCGCATTAGATACCTACAGATACCTACAGGTAAAAACAGACTGTGGCAAGTAAATAGTAATGCTAAACTACAATCCTGGACAAAAAGAGTAGAAAATGTTTTAAACATCGCTGAATGTTGAAATGTCTCCGTTTACTTTCTATCTTTTTCTGCCCTCCCCCCGCCCCCCTTCGCTCAAAGCTGTACTTTAAAGAGCACACATAACTGCTGGATTTTTTTGAGGACTAACAACACTGTTTTGGAGGAGGGGAGGGGGTAGAGAGGATGTTTTGTTGAACTGACTTTAAGGGTGCAGTTATTCTCAACCTTTTTGTCCAGGATTGTAGTTTCTATTACCGATATTACATAACCACAAATCAAAACAWGCGCATCCTTTATCGTACCCGGATCCTCCTCAGTTTCCCAATCGAAAATCGACAAAAGACGACACCAGAAGAGCCAGAATTCCGTTAGTACGATATAGTACAGAGATTTTTGAGCTAATGAAATCAAAGACTTATTCGTCTCCAAACCAGAGCCCGTTTTTTGTTAGGAAGCTGAGAAGGTTCTCTGGGTACGAGAATGTCCGCATCAACAGCCACATAACAATTGATATTATTTATGCTTTTCTTCGATGTTTTTTTATATGATTCACTTGGTTGACCAAGGAAAAGCTAGAGATGACGTTTAATGGTCTTCTTTTGCTGCTTGTTTTTGGCTTTGTTGTCGTTACCTTTGCTGCTCCTGCAGCTGAAGAAGAGGACGATGACAAACCTGTTAATCCAAAGGTCTTCATAGAAAGTACGTATGTGTATTTTAATGTTTTTAAATAAACATGCAGTATTTATGTTATGGTTCTACTTAAATACAGATGCCTACAAAGCTGCAAACTTACAAAGTCCACATACAAGTGCTTGAAAAATATTGAAATCAAGTCACTTTTTGCTTCGAAATAAAAAGAGAAACAGAAAAWAACGTGCGAAAAGCTGAGGATAATGAAAATTTTGAAACACCATTCATTTGGAACAAATAACTGATCTACAGTGCAGCTCGAATCAATAAAACCGTGACCGTAACCTCATCAATARCAATTAGCTCCAACCGATACTTTCCCATACAGATTTAAAAAAGRGAATCCATAGACATAGTTMTAAAAAAAAATAAAACAGAATAAAACTTTATATTTGGAAATTAAGGTCTACAAAAYGATGTTGTATTTGCGTTTTACACKTACTCAAGGGTTTCATGACGAAATTTATTGGTTACGTTTATGCATCTCGCTGTGGTATACCAAGATAAGTGTTATGTGTGTGGATTTTCTTTTTCGCCTTTCTCTTTAATTTGCTTCCATTGCACATAGTATTCAAGTGTGTCAACCTTAGCAAGCTAACTGGCATCCTGGCAACAAAATCGAGTATGCTTTTCCAAGTTTGAAGTTGATAGATCGAAACGCTCACAACATTTGAATACTCCAGTTTCGAATTCAAAGTGAATAACCGCTGTTTTACTTGACAGCAGATTCTATTACGCAAAGAACTTACCAAAAACAAAAGAAAGCACGAGAAAATGTTGTTAATACAATAGAGCGCTAAGAATCTACATTTTCCCCGAGTTTAGGCTAACCCTGCTCATACCTTAGGTCTTATGGGAATACAGGGATAATCTCAACTCGGGGAAAATGCAAATTTTCAAGTCTATTGTAATAACGACATTTTCTCGTGCGCTCTTTTGTGTTTGTAAAGTCTTTGCGCAAGAGAATCTGTTGTCAAATAAAGCAGCGGTT